TATAGCAGACCCCGTATGCATTTTTTATTATCTTGTTTCTATTAAAAGAGTTGCATTTACATTACAATAGAAAAATCGATTCATCCTAGTTAATAAATCTTGCGAAACGTCTACTACCTACTTACGAATAGTCAGACTGAATGGGTTTAAGGAAATTAAAAATTTTATTTTTTTTTTTTAATTTTGAAAACCCTGCAGCTCGAAAACGGTGGCCTTAAGAGCCTACGTGTGTGTAACACAATTTACTTAATTTTAGCCACAGAATGGGCCTCTGTTTTTTTCTGTACGCCATTAATGAACACTGTATAGGTGCCCGCAATGAAATCAGTTTCTTATAAAAGTTGTAAAGCATACAATTCTACATAAAAATGGCATCTTGACTTTTTGTTGTACTATTAAAATTAACAGAGTTAGGGACGCTGGAAGTTAAGGGCCGATATAAGAAATTTAAAAAAAAATCATAACAAGCAGAAAAATGAATGGATTTTGTATTTTTTTTCAATCTACTCTAAAAAACTTAGTTTTTCTTTTCAGATAAATATATATAATTTTTAATTTTTAATAAGAAAGTTATAACAATTTCAAGTTCAAAGTTCAATGTAATGCATCAGTTGAATGAACAGTATGACGATATTCCACCAAATAGAGTAACACTCTGGGAACGTATATAGTCCAGGAAAATTAGCATTTCACCTCGGAATTGGATAAAGAAGGTTCGATTTTGATGAGACAAAGTGCGTTCTCTTCGTAATTGCGTGTAGGTCAAAGTCTACAACGTCTCATGCGGCGCTAATTTGTTTATTTATTAATAACCAATTATTATTAACAAATCAGCGTATTTCGGATATTATGTGGGTTGGAAAAGGCCAATTTTGATGCGGTAGAGCCCATTCTTCTTCTGATTAGTTGTACCTTAACTTTGGGAGACTCCACCGATCTTCATTTGTTTATTGATTTTTATTCGATCATTAAGAGCAAATTAGGCAATCGGACTGGGAGAGGGGGATTTTCACGCGGTAATCGAGGCTCTTCTCGTACTTGGAGTAGAAGGTGATCCAGAACCACTAAGGGCCACTAAGGGCAGACTAATTTTCATTTGTTCATTGATCTTCAATGAATTAGTATATACAAATTCGGGCTGTTATCAATCAGCGTGAACATGTATTTGGGCAGATTTATTCAGAAACGTAATATTATCATCGTTTCGCTCAATTGAGGTTAGTTTCAATTTTTGCTTGCCTTTTTCGCCCACTGCAATGAGAACAGGTACGTCCTTGCCAACGTTCACCGGAATTCACACAATCCATCTTGAAAATTTACCACTTACTCAAAACTGACCACAAAAGTTCTAAGTATACTTCAATAATCTCGACTAGTACGTTCGTCTTGTTTACTGTTTACACATTGAAACAAAAAGTTCCAAGTCCCGTCCACAGATGGCCAGTGCAAATTACTTATGACCATAAATTGAAAATGAAAAAAAAAATGAAGATCAGTAGAAGCCTTTATGATCTTGAACTTTCTATATAAAACCACGTTCATCCCGTCCAAATCGGCTAGTCCTACTCCCGACCGCAGATATCATAAACAAATGAAGATCAGTGGGGGTCCTTTACAGTTAACGTACAACTAATAAGAAGAAGAATGAGCTTTACCGCATCAAGATTGGCCGTTTCCACCCCACGTAATATCCGAAATACGATTATTTGTTAATAATAATTGATTATTTATAAATAAACAAATTAACGCCGCATGAGACGTTGTAGACTTTGATGTACATGCAATTACAGTAGAACCTCGATAATCCGAACCCCTGTAATCCGAACGCTCCATAATCCGAACGCCGTTTTGGGAAAAACAAAAATAGTATGTAATCAGAATTGCTCTCTAACTGCTACAGTAAACAGAGCATCACCGTAGTAAACATTGCGAAATATTACGAAATTCATGTGCAATACATTACATAAAATATAGTTACCTTACTGTAGCAGAGTAGTATGTATTTCATAAAGCAAACTATTTTGTACCTTTAACAATACAACGTGCTCCTTATTTTATGGGAAATAGTATGTCAGTGTTCATTTTTTGCATGCTACTATGCCTGGAAAGCACTTTGTTTGGTAATCCGAACGATTCGATAGTCCGAACCACCCCCGGTCCCAATTAGTTCGGATTATCGAGGTTCTACTGTATNAATATTTCCGTGATAACTCGGGTTCTAATCAATATTTTGGAATGAAACAAAATGGAAATTACTTCTTATAAAAAAACATTTATGAGCTTATGTGATACGTCAGTTGAATGAACAGTAACTATGCCAAACAGATTACAAGCCGTTATTGATTCGGATGGTGGTTGGACATATTATTGGACTGTTTTGTTTTTTCATTGTTTACAAAATGATGTCAAAATAAGTAAATAAGTTCATAACATTATGGGCCCAGAAAAGCTTCCTTTCTGATAGGTGTAAATTTAAAAAAATCCTGTTTTTCTAAATATTTCGAAAACGATTTAAGATATTACACTGAGTTTTGGTGTATAGTACAGTGGCAGTGTAATATCTTAAATCGTTTTCGAGATATTTAGAAAAAACCGGATTTTAAATTTCTTTCGATATTTATCTCAGAAAGGAAACATTTCCGGACACATAATGCCATGAACTTATTTACTTATTTTCACTTCCAGAACACGTCCTTAAAATATTTCCCTTTCCTCTCGAAACTGTATAAGTTATAATATTTTTATATTGTTGCCTTCATGACCTACCTACCTACTTTCTGCAGAATATGACACAAATTCTTATTTCAAAATATTAATTTTCTGAGAGACAAGAAAAATAATGTGGCCCGACAAAATAATTTCAAAACCTGTATACTCTTCTCTTATAATGCATATACTTGCAGGCCTGCAATTTTTTGTTATGTGTCGTTACATATGTACCTACACACAAAAAATATGACACGCCCCTAATTATTGATGCCTCCAAAATTCCTATTAAAAGTCCACCGGGTCGCCCCTTTAAAAGTAGTATGTCTTTTAGGTTGGAAACCTTTATCTTGCGTCGAGTGTACATTTTTCTAGCATTTCTGCCACTAAAGGTAACTAAACGTTTAAACGTCATTCTGTGGGGAATTGGCTTGCTACTATTATTTTTATAAAACCAAAAACATATTTTCTTTATTTGATAGTTGCTGCTTTTTTATAACACTTACTTATTTTAAAAAGTTTTTTTTTATTATATCAAATTCAACAAAATATCGTTTGGTGCATACGTCTTTTGTAAAATGTGGTACAAAACGAGTCATAGAAGCGTTTTATGTGAGAAAAATCAACAAAATTCAAATCACACTTTTTGAGGAGCCCTGTATAAAGGTCGCCACTGGTACGAATACGGGCAATCCGAAATCTAGCTATTAATAACTCAAGCTTGAATTACTGCGACGTATTCGTCTAATCCACCTGGCATTTGAGCTAATTAGTGACTTTTATGACTTTCACGTCTCCACTGGGGCATAAACCTTGTAATTGAGAATAAAATTTCAAACGATCGATGTATAAAAAAGACAGGCCACGACAGTTTTAAGGCCCGGTTTTCAGTTATTGTTTTTTCCACTCAGTACACATGTGGTTTTCATTTGGGAGCTCATTAAAGTCCTCGTAAAACTCTAAGCATTCCTTTAATTGACCGGCCGTTTATAATTCGTATTTTTTTAATTCGGTAAGTTTTGATACGGTGTGCGGCATATGCGAGGGACGAATTTATGTTTTACATACGTAACAGTGTGATTAAATCATTTACGTGGTTTCTTGATTATTTATAGTGGTATTTCGTGCCCTGAGCAGATGTTTCATGTAAATTTTGGTCATAAAGTGCGTTTTGGAGCGCATGGGAACTTTTATCTATATTTCATAACTGACTTATATTTCAAAATAGTTTATTTTTATTTCAGGATCGTGTTCAATCCAAAAATACACTAATACTTGCAGTGGGAAAGTTTCATGACATGAGAGCGACGAAGTAAAGAAATCCGTGCGATAGACAAGGATGGCTATAGTGAAGACGTTTGATAATCTGAATAGTCACCGCCCGTTTCGGGTTAGAAGTGAGAGAATTATGAAACGTCTTCAATGTAACCATCCTTGTCTATCGCACGGATTTCTATGACTTACTTTATCGCTCTCACGTAACGGCCGATGTACCATGGGGACTTTCCGAACCTGTATAATAGAACTTATTAGATTAAGGGCCGATTTCATAGTTACACTAAAATACAAATTAAAGTTTGTTAATTACATTACAAAGGACATTTAGTTTATTGTAAAGCCGGACCTGGGTTAGTAACAATCTTAACCTATTTTTTATGACTAAACGTTATTTTTTGATTTAAAAAATGTCAAAACCCAGAGGGTAGCCCCCTCTACCTCTCCGTTTTTGGGGTCGCTGAAACAGAATATGATCATAAAAAAAATTTAACTAGCCATTTTCCCGTTACCACCCCCATACACCCCCTTCTGGGAGTTGAAATGTCAATTTTCATACAAATTCGAGTAGGGTGTGTATTCCTATGTTTTTTGAGCCACTAAGAACGAAGAAGACTACCAAAAATGAATTAGACCCACTTGTTACCCCCTAGCGTCTCTTTACCACCCCCGTACACCCTTTTCTAGGAGTTGAAGTGTCAATTTTCATACAAAGTCGAGTGGGTTGTATATGCCCACGTTTTCTAGGCTGTTGAAAACAAATGTGGGTGGCAAAGGGTGTTGAGGGTTGACGAGGGGGTCAACTTGGCACTTTACTGCTTCTGGACTTAAACTAATTCAATGATTAACCCCTTACAGTTATCATATGAACCTAACAAATACCGTGTATGTTTTTTAAAATTAAATAGAGATTTTTCGTGTCAAATTTTAAATAGGTACCTACAACTTTTCAATAAAATTGTGTCGTACATGCTAGTAATAAAATTACTGAATATTATTATATATTTTTGCCTACTTACCATTGGAAGCCATATTGTACAAGCTCTGATGCTGGCCTTTCTTCCGGTATATTCTGACTATGAAGAAGGATAAAAAACAAACCATAAAAATAGCAATTGTGACCCCGATGTAGAGCAGGATGTCGTTCTGGGTGTTCTGGATATTAGCTGGAAATAAAAAGAATAAATTAATTTTATTACCAATGTAAAATACTAATTTCATTAGTGACTAACTTTAAACAACATAATTTTGTTGATTTATTGTTAATGTTTTATTTCCGTATCGCTGTTGAGAAACTCATCAGATGCAATTTTAACAGCAAACGTTTTAATAATATCGTCTGGTGTTGAGGAAGCAATTTTGGTAAATTTGCTAGATTCAATAAATTGGATGTTATTTGTTAATGGTTTATGCAGTAATTTCTTTCCTAATGATTGTCATTTTTCCTTTGGCATAATGGACAAAACTAGTAGGAAACGCATTTTTATACCAAACTAAAAATGACATAATTCTATTCTAGTACTTGTTTTATTTTTGTGAACAGATTATTTTTGTTTTAGCTATTATTGTTAATTTAAAAAATATAATTTATTTCGCATTGTTATTAAATTATTTGAACACTCGGACTCCTAAGGGTAGTAATAATTTATCAAGTACTCGGTATTCTATACAGATAAATACTGGATGTTGCAATAAATAACGCATTTTTCTGTAACTCCTCAAAAAAATATCATTTTATCTAAACTTTTGTTAATAACTTCAGTTTGAAAGAAGAGAGATGGTTCCGAATAGCGGAATTTTTTTCGTTATTTTATGTGTAAAAACAACATAAAATAAAAAAGGTAGCATTACGTTTGAATTTTTTTTTTTGAAAATCAATAAAACCCTTTCATTTGGAAAACAGGGGCAATTGACGGTTTGTTTATTTTTTAAATTGAAATTCAACTGAAAGATATGATTAAGCAATCAATTGCCTTTTCAGCAAGCTCAACTTCATTGAAATCGGTTTAAGTAATGCAGAGTTATCTTACTTTTTGTCATAGGAAATAATATCCGCCCCTTTCTTTATTTTTTAAGATGGAGCAAAATATTCCCAACAAGAACTTTGAAGAATGAGCAGAAGGTCTCGAAAACATTAAGTTGTATCTATCGTTCCATTTGATCTTTTAAAAATAAAGCAGTTTTTTACTTTTATTTTAGAAATGCGTCTTCTAGCGGTCAAAATTAGAAGCTAAAACTAATTTTATTGAATTTCTAGTAGCCATATTAGTCATCAATTTTGTTTAGCGAAATCTATAGGACAAATAGTTTCCGAGATACTGCCGGTCGATGACCTTAATGGGACACCCGGTATATTCATTCAAACAGCAGTTAATTCGACAAATACAACAGACGAATTTAATTCGACAAATACAAACAAATAATTTAAGTGGCTTCAATAAATTTTATTTCTTCCAATTAAATCGTTTTCTCAGTGTACAGTTGAGTTATACTGAATCTAAAATAGCTTTAACGTCACCGAAATAATAAGCCTACACCCTTTTATCGCGTGCTAAAATTACATTTAGAATATTCATGTTCATGATTTTTTTTGTGTAGCCCTGTAAATGGTGAGAATGAATGTAGTCTCATGTTTGTAAGTTCGAATCTCGTTTTCATGAAAAGTTCTGTAGTTGCAAGGAGATACTTGCAAATTTATTCCTAAGCAAATAACATTTTGCTGTGAGGATACAACACGTTAAAATCGTAAAATTCCTGGAACACGTAAGCAACTCGTACTAATTTTTACAAGGAGACTATCAATTATATTCCTACTTCCAGTCCCGGTGTTGTATTGCCCGGCAACCCAAGAATGTTCATGTATCCTCAAGATATCATCTCGAAGTGATAAATTATAACGCGGCCGGACACTTTTTGCAAAATTTACATTCTCTCTGTTAGACAATAAGATCGATTGGACGGATTGATCTATGGAACTGAGGGAACCCCGTTGCGGCTTATTATGGAGCAGCTGTTTAAGTGATTCCAGCGATTTATGTGCAAAGATTGAGATTGTGTGGTTTAGAGGACGTGAATTACATCGGCGCTAGGAGTTGTTCCCCTTTTTCCTACGTGTAAAGAAGGAAACGCGGCGGTTTGGTGTCGCGTGGAAAAGTTCACCAATTTCGTAAAGCCGGGATCTGTGCGGTATATGCCGCTCAAATAAATTTGGCCGAAGGGGTTCGCGAAGTGAAACGCAGTTGGATTTGTTTTCGGGATGGAGTTGGAAGGCCCAAAAAAGTTTTTCGAACCCTTAAAGAGGTTAAATTAATCACAAAAAGTTGTTTAAGGGAAACTCGTTGAACATAAACTAAAAAAATCCAAAATTATTAAAAATACAAATGCCCGTTTACAAAGCAAATTTGAGTATTGAAAGAGTTTGCACAATAACACATTATTTAAAAGAAGTAAATTTAATTAAGACTCGCTCTTTGTAAACTTAAAATGAAGCATTTGTTGGTGAAGGAAGTCTCATACCATTTAGGACAGTTTAGTATTAGTATAGTATGTAGAGTGAATCTGAATATACATATATACGTGCAGGGGAATTTAAACCAGAAATCGAGAAATTGAGGAACTGATTTCAAAAACAAATTTCAAATTTTACAAAAGGTAATCGCAGATCCTGTAAACAAAATTATTTAATCAATGTAAGTGTTATAAAACAAGAAAACACACTGTTTTACATTAAAGGCTATGATTGAATAGTCCGCCACCAGCTACGGTGTATGCCTGGCAACTAATTAATTCGAATTAGTAACTACAGCAAGATATTAGTTTAAATGTGCAGCATACATAACTTTGTTTTGTTACTGTTTATTTCTTCTGAGTAAATTATTTGCTTTATGTGACTCCAATATTTAATCCAGTGAATTAAGATCTGGCGCTTTAGCAGGCCACCTAATTGGGCCGCATCTACCCTCCATTAAAATGATGGTCTAATGATGATGGTAAATCATGCTGTACGCTGCAAGCGGAACAGCCTCTAATAACTTGTGCAAGTTATTCAATAAATGAAGGTATGCAGCAGCATTTGAATAGTGTGGGAGAATTTATGTTGGTAGTGGACGATCGTTGAAAATGCCACACCGTGTGTTAAAATCTCTGTCGAGTATTGTGTCCCCTAAATGCGTAAGGGTACATGCTCATTGTGATAGTTATTAATTCAATTTCTGGTAAAAGTAGAATCCGGACTACACAATGAAACTAAGAGAATAGGGTTTTATTCGTGTTACTGCAGAAGTCATCAAGAAAATGCTAATCTTTGCTCTTCATCTGCTGCTGCTTTATTTTTTGTTAATGACTTTTGATGTCTAGTTGCATATGTGTTTAATATTATCATTGTTTTTTAAGTGAGTCAACACTACAGCTGCATATCATTTTCCAATAGAAAATATTGCAGATTCATTAAAAAGTAATTGTAAGGGATAAGTAACTTCTTATTTATACAGGGTTTTAGTAAATAAGTGCGACAAATTTCAGGGGGTGATTTTACATGAGAAAATAATGGCAGTTTGCTTATAAACGTATGTCCGCAAATGATTCGTTTTCCGAGATACGGGGTGTCAAAGTTTTTCTTAAAAACTGACGATTTAATTTATTGCTCTGAAACCGGTCGAGATGTGCAAATGAAATTTGGTGGGTTTTAAGAGGTAGTTATTGCGCATTTTTTGACACGCAATTAAGAATTTTATGTTCATCATTGGCGCGCGTACGGGTAATAACCTCAATTTTTTTAAAGAAAAAAATGGTACGCCACTGAGATATTACAAATTAAAAATCATTTTTGTATTCCTCGATCAATTTGTGACAAAAAATCTCTCTTGCCTTTTCTTCGTATGGGGCGCCGTTTTGATGAAAAAAAAATAAAACATCTTAACGCGTATTTTTTATTTCATTAATATATTATCAAGAACTTATCTAATACAATAACATTAAACCAGAACAATAACAGAAAATAATACTAATAAAATTTTGAAAAGGCGCAAAGCTACAACAAATGTTCAAAATGACTTCCCTCAGACGTGACACAAGATTCAACTCTTCGCCTCATTGATTGTCGTATTCGCGCAAATATTCCTGGTATATTTATTATTGTCTCACAGCCTCATTATTTTCTCATGTAGAATCACCCCCTGAAATTTGTCGCACTTATTTACTAAAACCTGTATATTATTTTTAAAAACCATTTTTGTATCGTTTCCAGTTTTCCATTTCTGATATCATAAGGCAAATGCGACTATTATCTTTTTTTTTTAAAGGAACAATATTTTGAGAACTGCTGTCCATATGGAAGATTGTCATTTTTGCATGCATACCTACAAATTTCGAGTTTGCCATGTGCTAAAACAATTATATAGAATAAAACGTGGTTAAAAAAATAACGGGTTTTAAGAGTGAATTTTATATCACAATAAGAACTTTAAGCCCTTGAAATATTGATTTTTTTTAAATGTTTGCAAATTAAATAGCATACACTACTGTATATTTAAAAGGCAAATATTATAAATTAGCCCATTTCAATAAAGATGGATACAATGTAATTTAGTAATTTAGAACGCATACATACTTTTACCTTCCAAGTACATATTATATTTTCGAGATGGTAAATGAATGCAAACAAGAGTTTTAATTGACAGGGGACGATGGTATTGAAATAAAACGTCGGCAGTTGGTCCGTCGAACTTAAATCGACTTCAAATTAGTTGTTCACAAAGCAAATTTGCACAATAACGATTTACATGATCCAATTTGAGCGCGACTCGGAATTTCAAACTCAATTTGTACACCTCTTAAGATATCCCCATTAAATTATATAATTGCCAAATAGAGTTAGCGCAGTATTCTTTTCAAATAAGCGAAGAGGAAGAAGATGGAGGGAACAATTTGTGCTCTCGTCTTGACTTACACATAAGAAAGGGATTTTTATATTTAAGTGGGGTACATTTGTAGAAATAAACCAGTGTGCTATTTTTTTTATAGAACAGTAATTTATATTTAACTCTGTTTTAGGAAAACTTATACCAGGTACTTTTTGTTAATTTTTTACCCACTAATAAAATCTCAGAATTTCATTTCCTACGAACATTTCTACATATTTTAGTTTTTACTACAAATTCTCTAGAAA